CTGTCCGCGCAGCAGCGTCAGGCCCGGAGCCACGACGGCCCCGGGGCAGGACGAACAGCAGCTCCGAGGGCTGCAGGCGCTTCCTCCTGCCCGTCCGACGGGACCCGCAGAGGCCACTGGACGTTCGGATTCCGGCCGGGCCTCCTCGCCTCGGCCCGTCATCTCACCTCTTCCTCGTCTAAAGGGGAGAAGCCTTAACCTCAGGCCATTGAAGGTCATCGCGCTGGGCTCCCGAGCACGGGACCGGGAGGCCCTCAAGGGGTCAAGGACCCGGAGCCGCTGTATTGGGATGGAATCAATCCAGCCTCTCGGGCTTCACTCGGCCGCTTCCGGGCCTTCAATGTAAAAACACGAACCTCGAGCGCTTTCGCGGGGCATTCAGCCGGGATCCAACGACCAGGGTGTCGGAAGCCGCACACCCTCCACGTTAGAATGTGTGTGACTTGCTCGGGGACCACAGAGAATGTGCCTGGCGTTAGGGTTCAATGTGGCTCCCCTTTCATTCATTATTTTGGCTTGCACTCAGCAGAAGGAAGTTTGGAAACAGAAAACAACGCAAACGGTCTGCTTCCACTTCCCAGTGGCATCATCAGATCCGGCATCACCAGCAACTTCAGACTCACAAACTGCAACTAGTTCAGACTTGGCTTTCTCGGTCAGACCAGCTCGTTTCCCCATCGAGATCCTGACAGTCGGTGCCAATTCAACACCGACAGGAACCCCCAGTGTGGGGCGAAGAAGGGAACTGAATTCAGTGCCAACAGCCCGGTTATGACCTGCAGGGCGTGGCCCCGCTCAACAGCGTGTCCGCTCCATCACCAAACGGCACAGTGTGACGCGGCGCCGGCTCTGCGATGGGGTCTGTGGTCTCACCTCCGCTGTTTCATCTCCACACAGAACAGCCGTCCACCCCAGGGGAGCTTCCTTCTGTAAACTAGTCTCTGCCCCTGGCCCCTCATTGGTCTGTCCTCATGCAAATGACTGCTCCAAATCCGAAGTTTGATTGGTCCAAAAGGCATTGTCCTGATTGGTCAGAATAAAGTTGCTTTGTGAAGATGCTGACGGGGGAGGGCAGAGATGTAGATGGGGAGCTCCGATTGGATGAGGAGAGCCTCAGTCCTATTGGTTGAAGTAGGAACTTCTTCCTAAGGGCCAGCTCAGGCGCAGGCCACCGTGCAGGCAGCAGTTCCGTGCAGGTTTCTCTCTGATGCCTGGCTTGCAGGAGAATTGCCTGTACAGAAAAGGCTGCTAAACTCTTGTGGGTTTTTTTTTTTAATTTGAGCCCAGTTAGCCACCAGGAGTCCTTCTTAATAGGTGTCTTCTCAGCATCCACAAACCCAGTGAAGAAAATAGACCTAAATCCGCCAAGAAGCAACAAAATCTTTTCCCCAAATTCTCTTAAATGATCAAAGCCCTCAGATCCTCTGGATAGAGTTTAATATATATACTAGTATAGAGAGAGGGAGAGAGAGTGTTTGATGTTATGTCTATAAATACTTTTATATATTCAGGTTTTTGGTTCTACTCTTCTCCCTTGGGAAATGCCTCTAGTCAAATACACATTTAAAACTCTTCATTCCAAGTCAACAAACACTGATTCAGCCTTTCAAGGCAGAATGTTAAGGAGTCACTATGTAGATTACAATCCCAGCCCATAGGTATTTTCAATGCTGAAAGAATATTAATATACAATTATACGTAAAGGCAGTTTAGGTGGAAGAAAATTTACTTACAACTAGAATTAAGATGTTTAAGGTTGATATGGAATTTGAAAAGTAAAAGATTAGTAGGACAGCTACAGATAAAGGTACTACTAGAAGCGGAAATAAGGTTTCAAGCCCAAAAAGACTTAGAAGTGGGAAAACAGGAGGCATATTCAGGTACATCAATCATTCCAGTTTGGCTTGAGAATAGGATAAATGACGGAAGCTTCTAGGAGTTAGGGATAAGCTACACAGAGAGGCAGTATAGTGTGAAGTTAAGATTTTAGTTTGAAAACCAGCGTGCCACTCACTAGTTGTGCGACCTGGGTAAGTTATTTAACTCAGGCCCTCCATTTCCTCACTTGTAGGATTGGAATAATAATGCCCATTCAATGACTCCACAAATATTTTATGGAAATCAACTATGAACTAAGGACTATGTTAGGTGACAGGAATATACTGCCTTACTATTTATTAAGTTAGACCTGAATTGGGCACTAACAATACAGTGTTGAAGTGAAAAGGCCACACAACTATGAGCCCACTTACCATAGACAATGCAGACACAGGTGAGGAGAAGGCCCAAGACCAGAGGCCAGAGATACTCATGGAGATAGAGGAGAAGGAGGGGAACTAAGTGTCAAGCACTGTCGTGTTTCAGAAAGAGGGTCTGGCCAACTACGTCAGCTGAGAAGGTGAGTTAGATGAGGACAGATAAGTGTCCATTTTATTCAGCATTTGAGGGCAATTAGCAATCTTAATTGTTTCTGGATGTTTCCATGTAGTAGCAGTTTTAGAAGCTAGGTTGAAGTCAAGAAGAAATAGGCTGCTAGGAATTGGATCCAAATAGGGACAGAAGCTTGATTGGAAAGAGCAATAAAGAAAGAGGTCGGCTGGGTGGCTGTTTTGAAGATAGGAGAATCTAGAGCCCGTTTGCATGCTGCCAAGAATGACTCCGCACGAGGGTGAGAAATCGTGATGCTGGAAAAGAGGTGATGGCTGCTGGAAGGCAGCCCTTGAGAAGGCCAGAAGGCAAGCAGCCTCTGATGGGAGGAAGCACAACCCATCCTTGTAACAGGCGGAAAGCAAGGGGCTGCAGGTGAAGAGCTGAGCGAAGATGTGCAGTGGCCTTGACCGACAGACTGACAGACTGAAAACAGGACCCTGACGCCATCTGCTGCTTAACAGTGGCATGTGGACTGAGGAGCTAGCTGGAGTTTGTTCTTTCCGAAACTACTCACAGCCAATATCCTGTGGCAGCTGAAATCTGAACCGAGTTGTTCGGGGACGGCTGACACTGGGCCAATACTATGGTAACTAGAATGTGTACACATCACAACTGTGCACAGCGAGGACGGCCTGGATGATTACCTGCACGGATTCTGACGTCACAAAGGATGGCAGGAGCTGAGTGGAGAGGAAGCTTGTGATCGGAGCTCAAGTCTTCAGCGATGAGAAGGAACGAGCCAGGACTGCAGGCTGCTGTGACCCAGAGGTAGAGCACTGTACGTCCAGACAGCAGACATGTCCAGGAGCTGGGGCTGCCTACCCTGCCTCTTGGCTCTGAGGCAACAGGATCTGAGAGAAAAAACAGCTTTCACTTGAGACACTGCAGTGGGACTCTCCTCAGGGAACTGTCCAGAAAGCAACTCAAAATACATCTGCTGGCGTGGGAATAGGGAGGAGTTCTATAAGGAGCCTGAGACGCAGTGAGTCAGGTTAGGGATGTTTCATAGTGACTAATTTTGAGTCACTTCAAAAATACAGAATCTATAGAATTTAACAAGTAAATATATATGGGCTTGGGAGAAGGGCAAGAGAAAGAGCAGAGCTAAAGTAACTCTGTCATGTTAAACTGAATGGTAATAGGTAACATAGGACTTAGTATGCTCCAGGGCAATGCTAAGTGCTGAGCACAAGTTCTTGATGGTATATTACCTACAATTCACATACAGCACTACCCTTAGGAACAAGGGTAATTCTCATTTTACATACAATTATAGCTACAGGGCGGTCAACTCAAATACCAGGCAGTATATTTTACAACTAATTGATCCTGACAAGTTCATCAGGAAGGTGCATTGCTGAACATGGACTATGTCATGGGTTTGTTATTTCCAGTTTTCTCTGTGGCGAGTTAGCAGCCGAGAGCTCCAGTTCTGCAGATTCCTTGGGCTACAGCGGTCATGTCTAAGCTGTGTGGTACGGAACTGTGAGTCCTGGACGATCCCAGTCATTGTAATACATACGTAAAAAGAAAGCCCCTCTGCTGTTTTGTCTTCCTGTTTATAGATTCCTCAACTAATGGGTCTTTTTACTGTCCTTTAAGTCTGACATGGTGTTTCAAGTTCTGATAACAGGCATACTCCCTTTTAGTGCACTTTGCTTTACTGTGCTTTGTAGATAACTGTGGTTTCATCAATATCAATGCAAGACCTACCAGCAAATTATTACAACTTGCTGAAGGCTCAGATCATGGTCAGCATCTTTTTAGCAATAAAGTATTATTTAAGTAAGTACATTGGTGTTTTTTTTAAACATAATATTATTGCACACTTAATAGACTACAGTATAGTGTAAATATAACTTTTATGTGCACTGGGAAATAAAAAATTCACATGACTCGCTTTATTGCGGTATCTGCTTTATTGCGGTGGTCAGGAACCAAACCTGCAGTATCTCCAAGGTCTGCCTGTGCAGTCATGTGGTGCTTAAGGACCGGGGTTTTGTTCTGAGAAATGGGTCACTCGGCGATTTTACTGTTGTACACACACCAATGTGCAGATGGCATGGCCTACTGCACACCTGGGCTACGTGCAACAGCCTGCTGCTCCTGGCTACAAGCCTGTGCAGCATGTCCCTGCACTGGATGCTGTGGGCAGCTGAGATGTGCAGCACGGCAATGTTGCAATTGCTACCATGTCACTGGGTGACAGGAAGTGTTTGGCTCCATTATAATCTTACTAGAGGCCTGGTGCACAAATTTGTGCAAGGGTGGGGTCTGCCTGGCCCGCCCCAATCGGGGCTGATTGGGCCAGTGGGGGGTGGGGGAGGGTGTGGGCGGTTGGTGGGCCGGCCCCGTCCCCAGGTCAAACTCCTGGTTGAACTCCCGGTCAAGGGAACAATTTGCATATTAGCCTTTTATTATATAGGATAGGACAGCCATCACAGCATCGTGATGCGGCATGTGACTATATAACTATGAAATTGCATGAACTGTCTCAGACATGATCAGTTGCCTCCCCCGAGCCCATCCCTTATTTCCTTGCTCCAAGAGCTCCAATGTTCAGTTATAGCCTCTCTTTTCACATGGCCATGGGCATCAGGGAAGATGGGCTCCAGCCTCAGCCCCAGGTAGTGAGTTGTGTCATCTAGTTATGGGAACCTGATTACATTCTATCAGCTCAAACAAATGCACATAGAAGTCTGCAGGGAGAGTACAAAGACCGACAGAACATGGATCCTGATCAAATGCCTGGGAAATATAAGTTTCCTCTTGTTTAAAAAAACAATTATATTAGCCCAGACAGTGTGGCTCAGTGGTTGAGCACTGACCCAGGAATCAGGCGGTCACTGGTTTGAATCCCAGTCAGGGAATATGCCCAGGGTTGTGGGCTCCATCCCCAGGAGGAGGCATGCAGGAGGCATGCAGGTGATCAATGATGTTTCTGTCTCATCGATGTTTCTATCTCTTTATCCCTCTCCCCTCCTCTCTCTCTCTAAAATCAATAAAAACGTATTTTTTAAAAACACAGTTATATTAGGTTTTTGGTTCTGGCATCTAAAAAGAGCCTAACCCAATTACATACAATTATAGCTACAAGGCAGTCAACTCAAATACCCTATGCCTGGCTAGCTCTGCCTCTCCTGACTAACAAAGAGAAAGACCACACATTTGTAAGCATTCTGATTGGAGAAGGAGTCATTCGTTAGGGAAGTATGAAATATATCAACATTTTTCTTTAAAACTTGGTAATTCCCTTCAAAAGAATGCATATAGTGCATTAAAATACCATTCAAAATACATCTGCCTTTAGAAGGTTTCCAAAATTTACCTTAACATTTTCTTAATTTGATACTTTACAAGGTTGTGTCATAATTTCCTATAGTCAATTTTAATTTTCTTAAATCTAAGAAGAATAATATTCCCATATTATAATCTACTATAAGCATTCATATGTTCCTATATTTTATATTTTGAGGTAATAGTGTTAATAAATATGGTAAGTACAAGTATGAAGTTAAGAAAAATCCAGCTTTTACTTGTTTGTTGTTAATGCAATTAAATGCTCCAATTGGAGATAAAAATATGGCTAATCAATACTACTGAGGTTTACAAATCTATAAACTTCATGTATGTGAGGAGTTGAGAGGTAAACATTGTTCAGGACATGTGACAAGTTATTCACAGTAAAGAGCATATACCAAGGCCAATGCCACGTAAGTTTCTGTTTCATGTTTAGCTGCAACCCAGCTGTCCCATGCAACATCCCAGATCCATCGGCTGGCAACCTGGAGACATTTTAAAAAATTAACTTTAGATTGAACATGTTAAGTAATTTTAAAACCTACACAAGCTTGATTTCTTTAAAGACACGTCGGTTTGCTAGAGAGTTACACATTTAACACACACTTTGTCCCTTTCTGGGGAGACTGACAGTGAAGCCTCCCGGGCCCCACTTCTCTCACCACAGCTGTCCTCTAAAGCAGACACCCGTCCTAGCAGGATGTCCGGGAAGGACCAGGAGGCCCTCTGTGGTTTGGGTCTAGTACAGCAGTTCTCAACCTGTGGGTCGCGACCCCTTTGGGGGTCAAACGACCCTTTCACAGGGGTCGCCTAAGACCATCAGAAAACACATATATAATTACATATTGTTTACAGTAGCAAAATTACAGTTATGAAGTAGCAACGAAAATAATTTTATGGTTGGGGTCACCACAACGTGAGGAACTGTATTAAAGGGTCGCGGCATTAGGAAGGTTGAGAACCACCGCTCTAGTAGCTCAGTGTACGGTGCTACTCTGCTGTGTTGTAATCCATCTTGAAGAATTAACCTTCCCGCCCTTAAGAGATTTTCAACTGAAAATTTGTTAGGACCTTGTCTCAAAATGAAGAAACGGCACTGATTATACACGTGGCTGTGAGAGAAATGCTAACTCCGGTGCTTTGCTTACAAAGCCACGTGTGGTCTGATACAGCCTAATTTTCTGCAGTGCCTCTAAAATGGCCACAGATCCTTTGTGGCTTCTCCCATCAAGAGGTTGAGTCTATTTCCCCTTGTATATCAGTTGTCATTGGGACTCGCTTTGAGCAAAAGAATGTGACATTGTGCAACTTCCAGCCAGGCCTTAAGAGGTCTTCTGCTCTCGCCTTCTAGGAACGTTGTGAGGAGACCCCCACGAATAGGAGCCCATCAGCCCACTGGAGGAGGATGGCTCTCGTGCAGGAGAACCAGGTGCCCCAGCCAACAGCCAGCACCGACCATCAGACACGTGGCTGAGGCCAACTTGGACCTCCAGGCCCAGTGGAGTGACCAGGTGGCTCAGGCACCTCAGTGAGTCAGCAGAAAAAACAAGCGGCCCATCCAGGCTGAGTTGACCTACAGAGTGATGAGCACACAGACCATGTTGTTGCCAGCTGCTGCGTGCTGGGGTGGTGTGTGGTGCTCCCTGAACATCCCACAGCCACAGAGGATTCCGGAAGCACACGGAGTGCAGCCTGGCGTGGCATCTCTGCTCGCCACGTTTTCTCTGCCTGCAGTTCTCCCTGACCTTTGGCACAGCTGGCTTCTTCCTGTCACTAAGGCATCAGGGGCCTTCCCTGTCTCCAGACAATCCCACTGAGTCACTGTCACTCTAGCGCACCTCCCGCCTTAATTTTCTTCACTGAGCACTGAAGACCATCTACCGCGGTTCTCAACCTGTGGGTCGCAACCCCTTTGGCGGTCGAACGACCCTTTCACAGGGGTCGCCTAAGACCATCCTGCATAGCAGATATTTACATGACGATTCATAACAGTAGCAACATTACAGTTATGAAGTAGCAACGAAAATAATTTTATGGTTGGGTCACAACATGAGGAACTGTATTTAAAGGGCCAGAAGGTTGAGAACCACTGGCCTAGTGGGATTGCATTTTTATCTATATATATAAAAGTCTAAGCGAACGAATGACTGAACAACCAAACGACTGGTCCACCAGTTGCTATGAGGCACACTGACCTCCAGGGAACAGATGCTCAATGCACAGGATCAGGCTCCCTCCTGTCTGGATTGGGCCTGTGGGGATTGGGCAGAAACCAGCTATTCGAAATCCCCTGAGGGGTCCCAGATTGTGAGAGGGTGCAGGCCAGGCTGAGGGAGCACACCAGTGCACGAATCCGTGCACCTGGCCTCTAGTTTGTAAATAATGATAATCTTGCTGTTTATTGAGGACTCTGTGCTGGAGAAAATATTAAGGATTTGAATGCAATTAATCTCACTTAGTCCTCACAATTACTCCAGCAATTAGACTTTATTATCCTGATTTATAGGTAAAAAAAACTATGCCCAGGCCACAGCAGTGAATGTTTCTGCCAGGATTCATATCCAACCCAATCCGACTCCCAAACCTAGGCTGTTACACTATCTGCATTATTTTTTTTCTCAAACTCTAAGCTGTGTTGCTTTATTTTCTTGACTAGAGTAAAAAGTAGTCAAGAATCAGTCATTTCTTATAATTCTCTAATTTCTTCAGTATCTAACACCCATTAATGCCTAAAATAAATTTACTGGTTAGTAAATGACATTAATTGTCAAAATAGGATGATTAAGAAACAGGCTATCTATACAATTTAATAGGTTATCAATAGAAAATTGTCATTTCTAAGTGCTTTTCAAATAATTACAGTGAAAGAACATAAATTTAACACAATTATTCTTTCATTCCCAGGCACCCCGGGCCTGACATGCCCTGGAGCCATCGCAGGGCTGAGTGAGAGGCACCCAGTCACTACAGAGGACAGACCTCGTAGTTCTAACTGATAAAGGGGTACTTACATTTATTGCCTGGCCAGTCTTTTGAATAAATAATACCTTTATAATCAATTTATAACGGTGGTACCCAAAGTCTTTGACTGCTGACAATATGACGTCTGCTAATTCAAGCGACAAGTGAGAGAAGAGTTTATCATCATATTTGACATCTTTAAGAGTTTCCTTTAAAAAATTAAAAAGTATACCTTAATTTTCAAACTAAATATTTTCTAAATAAAAATTCAAGTAAAAAACATGTCTAAATAATACATATAACTTTTAAACCAAATATTAAATGCATGTCATGCTTACCAATTTATTTCAATCACAATTTTGAAGAAAACTTATTTTGGTTTTTTGATTCTGTTCCATTACTCTTGGTTGAGCTGTAGGTTTCCCTGCGTTAGATTACTGTTATCAGACAATTGGGGAGACACAGGGGGGTTGAAGGAAAGCTGCTGGGAATTCTTTGGTAGGGAAACCAACTTCTTAAAGTGCACATCCTCGCGAAAGCTCTGATTTGGGATTCCCTGAAGCAGGGCGACCTGGTCCAGAGCTGCACCGGGCCCTTCCTGTCTCCCTCTTCCTCATCTCCTCTGGTGAAAGCCCACTTCTTCCCAGCCTCTCCCTATGCTTCCCACTCGGTGGATTTTTTCCCGTGGCCAAGGAAGTCAGGTTTCTCACCCTGCTTGTTAGTGAATAGCGTCCAGCGGTGGGGGAGGGGGGCAGGTGTGGGCCCTGGAGCCCTACACTTCCCTCCCAGCCATCAGCAGGCCTGGACCACCTCCGGAGCAGACAGCATATGCCTCTGACTGGCTGACTGGGACCAAAGATACATTAACCAATGTTCTGGGCTCTGAGTGACAACAAATGGACTCCTAGCTAAACATACAGGCATGCACTAGTAAAGCCAAAGAACTAGCTCTTTTTGTTTGTTTTGGTTCCCTTCTAGAATGCTCTGGGTCTAAAATGGGGTTTAAAAGCATTGATTTCCCTCAGGTACTTGGCTGTGGCTGTACCTTTTGGACACTTAGCAACAACCACTCCCTTTTCTGAACCTCCCTAACATATCCCAGGTTTTCTCTACCTAAGGGCTCTCTTTTAAATAAATAAGCACTCCCAATAGAAAAATACCCACAAGCTCCATCAATATATACTATTTCTGTGTCTAGAACTACATTCAGTGTTCCCTGAACTCCAGGGAAATCCCTGACCTCTTCATGACCCCAGCCATTCACCTACATCCCCAATAAGCTGTTCTAGGCCCCATCAAGCCCAATGAAACTCTATAAATTATCAAATTAAATATGATTTGAAATCCTACTATATTCAATAAATGTGAACTCAGTCTACGTGGTAGAACTGAGTGAGAGACACACCACAATGTATACTCTCACATCACAAATGCTTGCTATTAGTGTTTAGATCAGTAAAGAAGGTAATCACTAGTTATTTTATTGTAGTAAAATTGAGTTGAATTGCTTTATTTCCTGAAGCCATGAGCCATTATATCTTCATCAAATATCATCTGATAATTATTAGTTCCGTTTAGAGATGTATCTATACAGTGAAGAGAAATTGGAGAGTCACCTAACTATTCTTCTTTATTAATAAAAGCTAATTCATTTAAAAATTAAAGTTATTAATCATTTCTACAAACCAAATTAAACCTATGCTTTGTTCCAACTAGGCAGCTCATATCAGTTGTTACTGAAGAAATGCATTTTGTAAATTGGAGGGGGAGGTAATTTTAAAACAAGGAGTGGGGTGGGGTTGGCGGAATGCCACAAAGGGCATCTACTTATCAGGAAACTCCTGGTGCCTGGTGCCCAGAACTAGAGACCAAAGATGAAAAAGGGATTCAGAAAAGGTGGTGCCTCAAATGAATTTCCTATAATAAAAAGTGTTGTAATTTGGTCCTTTATCAAGAAAAGATGGTGAAGGGAATTCCTCCCATCTGAACAATGTAGCCTTCAGACACCAAAACTAGTAAAGTTAATACCGGTAAGTAATATTAGTATTATAGGGTTAGTTTTGTAAAATTGAGAAGCTTTTTTGAATGAGCCTGGGATCATGTGTTTGAGTTTCAAACAACTGTTTTTAATGAACTTTATATTCCAGTAAGTTTAAGGAAGAAAATAACGGATGCCTAAGTTGGAGATGGTCTATACTTAAAAGATGTTTAGCATAGTCAGGAACCAATTTTTCACACAAATACACACATCCAATGTGTTCTTTTTCACTCATTCCTCCAATTATGGGCGAAACATGGAACCAGAGGGACAGTTTATGGATAATTAAGAGCTAAATGAAATAAAAGCATGTTCCCTTTAATCTAACTCACAGCATCAATGTGAAGATTATTGACTACAAACCCAAAGTACTTTCATATTTTCAGAGTTAAGTGCTATAAAAAAACAACAACAATCAGGGTAATTATACTGCCATAAATCTGAATATAGTTTACCAAATCCCGAAAACTTAGATCAGGGGTCCTCAAACTACAGCCCACGGGCCACGTGCAAATACAAATATTGTATTTGTTCCCATTTTGTTTTTTTACTTCAAAATAAGATATGTGCAGTGTGCATAGGAATTTGTTAATAGTTGTTTTTTTTAAACTATAGTCCGGCCCTCCAACAGTCTGAGGGACAGTGAACTGGCCCCCTGTTTAAAAAGTTTGAGGACCCCTGGCTTAGATATTATATCATACACATTTATCAACCTACCGTTAATATCTGCTGGACTTTAGCTTCTACTGAATGAGCTTGGAATTTTCTGAGTGGCTCCATTCTATATGTATTAGCAAACCTAAATTTTGCCATAGAGCTCTTCCATTCTTTACTTATCTCAGCAATGGAATCATCAAATGGAGGCTCTACATACAGAACATCATGAGATGATTCTTTCAGCCTTTCTTGTACAATCTGTGTATACTGAAAGAAAGAGGTGGGGAGAGGTATTGATTTACTTACTTATTACTAGAGGCCCACTGCACAAATCTGTGCAAGGGTGGGGTCCCTGGGGTGGCCTGCAGAGATCGGGCCCCAGCTCACGCCCCCAACCTCACAGACCCTGCTCCACCATCTCGCCACAGTCCCGCTCTCGTCAGGGCCCATTGGGGCCAGCAGCGCCTCCACTGCTGCCCGCTGCCAGCACTGCATCACCGATGCCCACCATGTTCCACGCTGCCCCCTGGTGGTCGGCGGTCATCATAGCGGGCAGTCGAATGACCACCCGAGGGGACAATCTGCATATTAGGCTTTTATTACATAGGAGGATAGGACTTATTTATAATTCTTTATTGTTGAAAGTATTACATGTCCCCTTTTCCCCCCAATTACCCCCTTCAGTGCCCTCCCCTTCATATGCATACAAGGTCTTTGATTACCTCCTACCCACCCACCCTCCCCCACCTTCCCTCTGAGATTCCGCACTGTTCCATGCTTCCATGTCTCTGGATCCACTCTGTTCATCAGTTAGTGCATCTATTGGTATGATCATGTGATTGTTGTCTTTCAATTTGTTTATGTGATGTATCACGTTTATTAATTTGTGAATATTATACCAGCCTTGCGTCCCTGGAATAAATCCTACTTGGTCATGATGTGTGATCTTTTTAATATACTGCTGGATGTGATTTGCTAATATTTTATTGAGGATTTTAGCATCTATGTTCATCAGGTATATTGGCCTATAATTCTATTTGTAGTGTCTTTATCTGGTTTTGGAATTAGGACTATGCTGACCTCATAAAGAGTTTGGAAGTATTCCTTCCTCTTGGATTTTTTGAAATAGTTTGAGAAGTATAGGTGTTAGTTCTTTGACTGTTTGGTAAAACTCCCCTGTGAAGCCATACAGACCTGAGCTTTGGTTTGCTAGGAGTTATTATTATTATTATTATTATTATTACTGCTATTTCATCAGTTATTATTAAAACATATACAGGTTTTCTGATTCCTCCTGATTCAGTTTTGGGAGACTGTATTTTTCTAGGAATTTGTCCATTTCATCCACATTGTCTAGCTTGTTGGCATACAGTTGTTCATAGTATTTTCTTACAATCCTTTGTATTTCTGTAGTGTCAGTGGTTACTTCTCCACTTCTGTTTCTGATTTTATTTTATTTGGGTCCTCTCTTTGTTTCTTGATGAGTCTGGCTAACTGTTTATCAATTTTGTTTATCCTTTCAAAGAACCAGCTTTTGGTTTCATTGATTTTATTGTTTTTTGTATGTTACTTATTTCTGCTCTAATCTTTATTCTTTCTTTCCTTCTACTTACTCTGGGCTTTTCTTGATCTCTTTCTAGTTCTTTAGGTTGTAGGGTTAAATAGTTTATTGCTGATTTTTCTTGTTTTTCTTGAGGTATGCTTGTAGTGCTATGAACTCCCCTCTCAGGACTGTTTTTGCTGTGTCCCAGAGATTTTGGGTTGTTGTGTTCATTTTCATTTGTTTCCATGAAATTTTTTTCTTTCTTTCTTGATCTCATTGGTAACCCATTCATTCTATATAATAAAAGGCTAATATGCAAATCGACCGAACAGTGAACAACTGGTTGCTATGGCATGCACTGACCACCAGGGGGCAGACGCTCAATGCAGGAGCTGCCCCTGGTGATCAGTGCGCTCCCACTGGGGGAGCGCTGCTCAGCTAGAAGCCCTGAGCTGGGCTCATGGCTGGCAAGTGCAGCGGTGGTAATGAGAGCCTCTCCCACCTCCGTGGCATTGCTGAGAGGCCCTCGGGGGATGTCCAACTGCTGGCTTAGGCCCACTCCCCATCAGTCAGACATCCCTCGAGGGCTCCCAAACTGCGAGAGGGCGCAGGCCGTGCTGAGGGACCCCCGGAGTGCACGAATTTCATGCACCAGGCCTCTAGTTGTTTAATAACATGCTATTTAGTATCCATGTGTGTTAATGTTTTGGGGTGTTTTTACTGTAGTTGATTTTGAATTTCATTTCACTGTGATCTGAGAAGATGCTTGATATGATTTCAATCTTCTTGAACTTGTAGAGACTTGTTTTGTGTCCTAACATGTGGTCTATCTTTGTGATTGATCCATATGCACTTGAGAAGAATGTATAGTCTGCTGCATTGGGGTGAAATGTTCTATAAATGTCAATTAAATCCATTTGATCCAGTGTGTCCTTTAGAGTCACTGTTTCCTTGTTAAGTTTTTGTCTGGAATATCTATCCAGTGAAGTCAGTGGAGTGTTAAGGTCTCCTACTACGACTGTATTGTCAATCTCTCTATTAAAGTCCTCTAGAAGCTTTTTTATATATATTTAGGTGCTCCTGTATTGGGTACATATATGTTTACCAGGGTTAATTCTGTTACTTTTATTTATCTTTGCATAAATAATACAACTTAGGTAGCACTTTCATAAGTGAAGTTGAAAGATAACAAAAGTGTACTGATTTAGTATATACATCATTCCATATTTTTGACATTCAACATTTATTCTGTAACAGTCAATACTGTTTAAGGATATATTTATTTGGTACCTAATATGGTCCAGATAAATGCTCTAGGCCAGTGGTTCTCAACCTTCTGGCCCTTTAAATACAGTTCCTCATGTTGTGACCCAACCATAAAATTATTTTCGTTGCTACTTCATAACTATAATGTTGCTACTGTTATGAATCATAATGTAAATATCTGATATGCAGGATGGTCTTAGGCGACCCCTGTGAAAGGGTCATTCGACCACCAAAGGGGTTGCGACCCACAGGTTGAGAACCACTGCTCTAGGCACTGAACTACAGTGGTAAACTTCATTATAACAGTCAGGCATTAATTACTGTACTTGTATTAACTCCCAATCAAGGACTCTGCATCATGGAGTTATTAATCTAGCCTGAGAGATAATAAAAAAGTATACAGAGCCCTAACTGGTTTGGTTCAGTGGATAGGGTGTCGGCCTATGGACTGAAAGGTCCCAGGTTTGATTCTGGTCAAGGGAATGTACCTTGGTTGCATACACATCCCCAATAGGAGGTGTGCAGGAAGCAGCTGTTCGATGTTTCTCTCTCATCGATGTTTCTAATTTTCTATCCCTCTTCTCTTCCTCTCTATAAAAAAATCAATAAAATATATACTTTTAAAAAGTATAGAGAGATCTTGTAACATAGAAACCCACACCTGAAACTTGTGTTTATGTTGACCAATGTCACCCCAATAAATTTAATAAAGAATAAGTATACAGGGAAATGAATAAGCTAAATAGTGGTGATTGCTATAAAAATAAAATAGCATGATGATAGAAACTGGTAGTGAGGGACTAATTTAGCCTGAATGATCAGAGAATGCCTCTCAGAGGTAAGGTCTGAGAGGAACTCTAAAAGGAACAGGAAATAGGAAGGGCAAAGACCTCAAAGCAAAAACTTAATGTGCTGTAAGACATGAAGTCAGTGTGTCTGAAGTGTGTGCAGTATGACAAACGTGAGACTAGAAAGGCAACCAAAAAGTAGACCATGTAGGATTGACTAGGGCATGGTGAGGAGTTTGGATTTTATTCTCGGAACAATGGGAAGCCATTGGAAGGATTAAGCTGGTGAGTGATATGTCATAAATTAGTTTTAAAAGATCATTCTGGCCACTGTGTGGTGGATAGATGAAAGGGAGATCAGGGCCTGAAGGAAATAACTTTATAGGTTATGATACTTTTTATAAATAATGTTAACTATAAGTAACTTCATAACTTTATAATAGTGTTTCTAACCAGAAACATGGTTTACTTCTGCATTATATAAGAGTTTTTACTTCCAAGTAATTATGTTACACAAATCTCTTTTCAATTTATTCTTTTGATGCTCATTTAAAGTGATTTAAAAACACATTTTATGTTTTTAGGAGTTGTTTTGATATGGAACTACTGTTGTAGTTCAAGATGCTAACAGGGTTGGTTTCTCCTGACACCCCTCTCTTGCAGATGGATACCCTCCCTCTTGCTGCCTCTTTATAGTAAACCATCCTGCTGTGCATGCTGGCCCTGGTGTATCTGTGTTCTAATATGTTCTTCTTATAAGGACACAAGGCAGAAGAGATTAGGGCACAACCCTAAGAGACTCATTTTAACCTATTTACCTCATTGCAGACCCTGTCTCCACATGCACATACACTCACTTTGTGAGGTATTGCAGGTTAGGTTTCAACAGACAAAACTAGGGGCACACAATCCAGCTCATAGGGTCTTTCAAGTAATTTGTGCATTTCATCCAAGTTCATAAATGTATGACCATAGTTATTTCTAGTATTTCCTTCTGATCCTCTTAATATTTATTGGGTCTGTAGTGACTCCCCCTTTCCATTCCTCATATTAACAATTTGTCTTTATTTTTTTCCCCCTGATTAGTCTGGCTTGGGCAAGGGTTGACAAACTTCTTTTTTAAAAATATTTTAGGCATTGTGGGCTAAATATGGTCTTTGTCAATTTTCCTCCTGATTTTTGGATGGAATGCTCTGGATATAAATGTTAAGTCCATCTAACATAACATTTAAGGCTGTGTCCTTATTGATACTCTGTCTTGATCATCTATCTAATGATATTAAGTACAGGTATTATTTCCTCCATCCTTTTAAAATAACTGTATACAAATACAAACAACATTCTTAGCTTATAAGCTGTACTGAAACAAGCTGTTGGCAAAATTTGACCCACAGGTTGTGTTTGCCAACCTCTAGGCTTGAAGTTTAACTATTCTTTCAGAGACAGACACGTGAGGCACTTCGCTATGCCATCCTCATTTTGAATTAATCTTAACCACTTTCCTGAAGTATTCCAGGAATAGTTATCTATTTAACCTAGTTTTGGTCTCACCTTCACATTAAGGAAAGTGACTGACAGTAACACCAAAACTCTATCCAGTGGGGGATTAGTTAATTCTACAAATAAAAGTTGAGGTGCTACACAAGGGGGGAGAAATGGATTCAGAACGGATTTAAAAAATGTTTACGTTGATTAAATTGTAGTTCTAATATTTCCTATGCTTAGAGCATAGGAATTATCAGCTACCTACAAGTTATAAATGACTCGTTGATATACTCATTGTCTTCAGGTATATTTTGTGAGCATTTGTGGAATCCTCTCTTAGTCTCTTCCCAATTATGGGTCTATTCAAATTTCCTACCTCTAGAAGCTAGATTTTAATGACAGCTACGATCAATCACACCCACATCAAATAACTAAAAACTGCCTTTGTCCATGTCCCCTATTTCCATATTTTGGCCCGTACACCCCGTGTACCTGTGCACCTCCTCGCTTTGCATTCAGGCTTACTCATTTCTCAAGACCAATCCCGGTATTTAGTAGGCAGTAAATTTATAAAAGGCACCTCTGTCTGCCTCCAAATACAGAAACCTTTACTAGCAGGTGACCCGCTATTCAGACTCACTGCCAGGCAATAAAGCAGAGTTTCTGGGAGCAGGAAACGTAAAGTACAAGGTAAAGTTCCTGGCCTTGCTCCGCTGTTCTCCTTCGTTGTGTGAACTTGGCCTATTATTCTTCCTTCAGTTTTCCTTTCCTCTGCAAAACGTGGACACCAGAGAGCTGTCATTGAGCTTGAACCGTTACCCTGACTTTCTTTTTGAGGATTGTCTTTTTGTTTGAAATATATTAGGATTTCAAAATCAGGTTTGGCAGGTTCTCTCTCCCTCATTCGATCCTGACGCCCACAAAGTAGGTGTGAAAAGGAACCAGGAAAAGACAAGCGGGCTCAGCCGTTCCCAGCCTCGGCTCCGTCCTGGCAGCTTGGGAACACGTCTCTGTTCAAGTGTCAAAGGCGGGGGAGTCCTGATTGCAATACTCGTTTCCGGACTCCGGTCACACGGAACCCTGGAGTGATGTCGCCAGGAAAACTGACCATTTCCCCTCCGTAGACGGTGACTGAATGGGCTGCTATCTCCAACTGCACGTCTTTGCTCCGGTATGTTCTTCAGACACCGAGTCTGCCGCTGTTTTTAAAACCAAAACCACCCACTTGTTCTGCTGGGTATATCGGATATTCTCCTTTTTGAAAGCACGGCGCGCTCACGTGTGGCCAACACACCGCCTCGGGCTTGCAGGACGCGCTAGGGGCAGCACGGAACCGGAACCGGAACCGGAACCGTCCTCGGCAGTTGAGGGAAGGCGGTGGGAAAGGATCCAGCCGTGGGCAAATTACGGCCCGCGGGCCGGATCCGGCCCGTTTGAAATGAATAAAACTAAAAAAAAAAAAAA